GGCTCTAAACGACTGTGAGCTCGTGCGATGAGGATCTCTTCCTCATTACCATAATTAGGGGAAAAGAACAGCGGGGAGTTCAACACAACTATGTACCATCCCTTGCTTCCGCTTACTCGACTTTGGTAATGGGCTTTTCCTGTTTGTATTGAATGTCTACATGTGCACACCAGTCAAAGTGCCTAGTTCTATTGCTTAGTGCCTGCATAGAATATACAGTCAGGGAATTCTTACCCGAGCCGAGTTGTGGGTGTCTGCGTTCCGGAGTGGTTCATCCGTCTGGCGTCTGACCTTCGGCGGAAGAGACACGCAGAGAAGAGAAGATTAGTTGTCCCATGACCTGGAATGAGGAACCCGCGAATTGGTTTTCGAAGACGCAACGTCAAGTTTTCGACGGTTTCTATGAAAATTTGCATTGTTAAGAGCCCTTACGAGTATGTCATTACTATGCTCCGATCTGTTGGTTGTTTTTGCTGTTCTGCGTCCATGATAAGTTTTTGTAAAGTTGCTCGTCCAAGGTTTTTGGGAGGAAACTCTGCAAGCTTTTATTGATGTCTTCCAAAGTTATTCTTGGACATTCCGTAAGCCTTAAGTAAAGGATCAATAACAAGGGCCTGACGCGTTTTGACGGACTTTGCTCGGAACTTGCTTCACTCGAATAAATACTTGTCAGATCAGATCGAATTATAATTAGTTGTGGTTTGGTGCGTTTCTCTATCCGTTAGTTGCTTGATCACAACGGAGCCTGTGTACATAAAATTATAGGGCAGTTGTGTGCGAAGAATGCCGATGTTCGACGACATTTTGAGCCGTGCAGAAAGCCTTTCATCATCGAATTATCATGCCAAAATTAACGATTTTTTCCCGAATAAAAGAAATGGCAACGATATTCCTCGCGATCAGCATTTATGCCGTCAGGTGCGTTGGCAGTAGTGTTCATTGCTTGATTGCAACTATTGCGTGGCCAGTCAGTTTCCGGAAACGGGCCTAATTTTTTACCGACTTTTTTCCTCAGTGGGCAGATTCGGCAAAAAAATTTGATTCTAGGATTAGTTGAACCTCCAACACGAATATCTCATCCGCTTGGTCGAAGCTGCCTAGCGCCCGCGCTACAAAAGCCAGCGTCAGTGAATTTGAATCACCAAGGCCGCTGGAAATTTGTTTAAGGGAGTTATTTGGCATCCTGGCACCCGAATATGACATTCATTCCTGGCGCTGGCGCTGATGGAGGACACTACGATCATCTGCGCTCTGCTAAGGCTGAACCTAGCTGGAAGGGAATCACTCCTTCTCTGAAGCTCAGTCTTGGCAGAGCGCTAAATGGCACTGGTGTCGGAAAATGAATGCAGTATTCGTGGCGAGGGCACTAAACAACCCTATTGTGCAATTTTTATCAATTTTGATGAAAAAGGGTGTGGCGCCCAATGGCGCCAGGGCTGAAAGCGAGTGTCATGTTCGTGATCGCATCAGGGTACTGAATAATTTCTGCATGCAAGTTAATCCCGATTTTGGTTAAAGAAAGGATGGCGGCAATGGCGGAGCTCGCAAACATTGTCGGATTAAGAGGCTCTATATTTAGTCCTTGTTCATTTTTTAGGATAATCCGTACAGCGGTACAACCTTCGACAAAGATCTCAACAGCATTTTCCGCGCAAGTGAACATTTATGGAAGACAAATGCTAGCTCTGTTCCTATTCAGGTATTACTAACTTGTTGCAGATGAAGTTAGTGTTCATCCTCTGCAGTTCAAGAAAAGGTGCAGCTGAGTCTTTCCAATGTTATTGCTTCACTTTACTTTTATTCAGAAAAGCTTTCTCTTCGGAGAGAAAGGTGTGGTATTTGGGCCTACGGTGCCTACTCTCAAAGAGACAAAAGTTCCCCCAAAATCCAGCGATGAGTTAGAGGTATTTAAGTCATCACTATTCAAATTTCGGTTTGTTTTTATCACACAGTATGACTGCCTCCAGATTGATGTGGACCAAGAACGTGTTCGACTGGAAACGGAACGCTGCTTTTTCAACCATGTACTCCTTTCGCGTCCACAGCCATCTATAACTCCTTCAGTGAAAATGTCGTCAAAGGTATGTGGGTGTACTGGCGCATATGAACCCATATTTCCCTTGTATTTATCTGCGACTCTTCCAGTATTCCTTTGTTCAGCCGGGAAGTTCTTGCAGTCCTTCCCATCCTTCTTACTTAAAGACACATAGTACGCTCAAACACATTGAGGGTGTATGAGACTATCAGCCCCCCAGCTGTCGATGTGTCGTGGTCCCCCCGCCCAAACATGCCCAGGAATGGAGATACAGGACCGTGAAACACGCTAGTTCCTCCATGCTCCGCCTTACACCTTTTGCGGCGCAGATTCCCGTCCTTCATAACATCCGTTGCAAGCGCGCGTGTCGCGTGCGGCTCCTTGGCACTTTGCCAAGTCCTTTAATTGCGCTCTCAAATACGAGTAAAACGCAATTTCCTGATGCGGATAACATTGGAGGTGCTACAAAATAAGAACAGAAGATGATGACAAGGGCCAGAACTCAAGAGCAACTCGGCTGCATCTGCAGTATCCATCAGAGGCCGCGCATTCCCAGAAAACATGAGAATAAAAACAATCCGAGCGTCCCATTCGTTT